AGTTTCACCTTCTTTCAGGTAAGGAGCCCTAAGCCCTAAACCCTAGTAACCCCGTGACCCTACAGGCCCTACACCCTTAAGCCTACCCTAAAAACACTTAGGCCTCAACCATTAAAACCCGAAAAGCACAAACCTAAATCCAAAAGTCCAACAACTTGATGATGTCAGTCCTGGTTGGCCCCACTCGGAAACCCCATCACACCCTCTGTCTTTATGGCTTTTGGCTGTTACTTCAGATTTAGGGTGCTTTTATCATTTCCGACTGTTAGTTAGTTTAGGTCTTTTGAAGGCAAATCTCAGCCCTGAAACCCTGAAGGCTAAAATCTCTTGACCCAAAGTCCTTGCTTGCCTCGTTGACCCTGCAGCCGTATGTTTAAGCCTGTAAGCCCTTTCAAAAACCATGCGCCCGTGACAACCCTTAAGCCCATGAAAGGTGCCCGCAAAAACCTGAGCCTTTTTCTGCCCAACATCCGAAACACAAAAATCCCTAAACACTTTACACCTGTCCTGTGGATGTTGATTCGCTCGGATGTCAGCTTGAGCGGTTATCAGAATGATGTTTACAAGGCTTCGACGAGTACCGGATGAAATCGCGCAAAACCACCAACACCTTCAACATCCGCGACAACCTCTATACCCTCAGAACGCTTTCAAAAGGCGGTAAGAATTCCAAAGCGCTCAGCAACCCTCAACACACACACACACACAAAACCCTCAACACCTGCGAAAACCTTGAACACACCAGAGCAAAACACAATAACTCCTTGCATCTTCAACTGTCGGAGACCAAAAATACGCCCCCAGAGCCCCATGGTGCACTTATTTACGGAAACCTGCGGAAATAAGAAACCCTTTACGAACCCGAGAGACGGGGCCGTTTGATGCACCTCCGGATTGACCTTGGCGAATACGAGCTCGACTCCATCGACGCCCTGTGATCGGTTTCGTTCGGCTTCGACACGCACACTCGCTCAGGCAGGCTTGGAGGGCTCCTCAAATAGTCCCTTTCAGGGTACTGTCAGGGATTCGTTAAAGGTTCAAGGTCAAGTGTGTAGGGTTTAATGGATTCAGAGTTAGGGTCGAGAGTTTCGGCGCTCACAGGGTCGAGACTTTAGGTTTTACTGGTTGAAAGTTGTCGGGCATCCTTAGGCCTTTCTCCAAAGGGCTACCGTGCAGGCCCCACTGTAGCACTTTCTGTGCCCAGAGTACACAACGGCATAAAGCACTTGGGTGTCGGATGATGGTACTGTAGGTTAGAACTGTCGGGGGTATAAGATTACTAGGCACTTGGATTCTTAGGCAAGGGCTGAGTTGATGGGTTCCAGTTCTGTGCTTCTTCGGGCAGGTTAGGGCTCCGGAGATGGAGCGGTGTTGTTGCGTGGCCATTGTGCCCTCGTTAGCAGCATCTTCGTGGGTTGTGCTATTATCAAGGTCTTAACAATGATATAGAATAAGGCGACAGCGGACAGTAGAGTATTAACTACTGTACGTGAAGTATCGGCAAATCACTACTGCTTCTCCAGGCCTCCAGGCTATGGTTCCAAGGGTTTCTCGTCGTTTTCAAGTCTGAAGTATCCTGGAATCCCTACCAAGACCAAGAGCAAGAGCAAGGGCAGGAGCAAGAACTAGAACACAAACACGAGCATGACAAAGAGGAAGAGCAGCGGCAGGAGCATGAGCAAGAGTGGGAACAGGAATGACAGCAAGAGCAGGAGCAAGAATTAAAACCGGTGCAGGAACAAAAGCAGGACTAGGAATGAGAGCGAGAGCAGGATTAAACCTATGTATAAGTACCTGTTGATTCAAATTTCTGCCTTTTGATCCCTGATTTCTTGCCTAAAACGCAAACGCAATTTCTACCTCTTCTGTTTGGACCTTCTGGAGCGTAACTCCTGCGTTTACAATAATAGCTGATTTCCTGGCTTGGGTTTTAACTTCTGCTTTCCAGTTTGGAAATGCCTGCTATAATATCAGCACTTGACAACTTCGCAACTTTGTAGCGCTCGTAATAACCATGGAAAAATTAGAAAGAATAAACAACCTACTACGAATAATAATCATGATATCATAATCTTAATGGTATAGCAGCAATAACGACAAACATGATAATCAGAACAACAATAACATGCAAATCTTAGCAGCAATCATGGCACTTAGACCAGCAAGAACGAGAACAATCACAAGAACAATAATACTAGTAATGACAATTAGACAAATAATGGTAATGCTACTAGCAATGGCCCTGATAACAATGATGATAATGACCGCAATGGTGACCGACATCACCATAATAATGACAGCAATGCAGTATTATAATTGTGAGGTGTTTGGCGGTATGGCCCGGCCATCTCCCATATCCGTAATCGGAGTACCAGCTCATTCACCGAACAGCACAAAGCACAAACACAACATCAACAGCTGCAACGAGGACGATGATGCCGCCATGTAATTTCTCAAATTTGCCGACTGTTAGGGCCTGCCACGGTCGTCACTGCCAGTGTGTCCATGTCTAGCTGATGGATCACATCCGCGGAATCTGCGTTGAGCCCCAACATCTGCGAACCCCGGAAACGATATGGATGAGCTAGTCGTAGTAGTAGTAGTAGTAGTAGTAGTAGTAGTAGCAGTAGTAGTAGTATAGTAGTAGTAGTAGTAGTAGTAGTAGTAGTAGTAGTTCCAGTAGTAGTTGTAGTACCAGCAGCAGGAGGGGCAGCTGCAGCAGAAGTACTACTGGTCGTTGTCGTCGTAGTAAATACCCAGTACTAGGCCTAGTACTAGCATTAGTGCGAGTGTTAGTTGCAGTATAAGTCGTTCCAAAGGTAATTGTGCGACGTGGCTTGTCGGCTTCAGCTGCAGTCTTGGTCGACGCAAGATGCGAAGCGAAAAGTCTGTTCTTTGCACTCGGGCTGGCCCAAAGTCATGGATGCAACTTATGCAGCAAAGCCCAGCCGATCTTTGCGCAATCGCTGTGCCTTAGGCAAGAAAACAGCATCACATGCGGGAGCTTCAGCTCCCGCCGGGAAAGGCTGCCAATCACGCAGCACTTCACACCCTCCGATTCGCAGCGTCGCTTTGGACGGGCCAGCGGCGCCACGACTGGCAATCGGAAAGCATTCCGAAACGGCGATGCATTAACGGTACGTCGAGACCACCCTTCGCTAAGTGCTATTGGACATTCCAAGGTTTGCTGACTGTTTGCTGTATTCTGTTGAACAGGCTTGGAGAGCGAAGTGGCCAAGTTTACTCGACCCTGTCCACAGAGTCGCCGCTCTCGGCTTGAACAACATTAAGGAGCACCACGCTCACCCTGAACCGGGTTTACCTGAATTGCCTGACATGTACGCATGTGCTTCTCGTTTCGACGAGATCATGCGGTAAAACATCCATGTACTGGGTCAAACCAGTCCGAGATGATAGCAACTGGACCGCTCGGTCAGAAAGCATCTGACAATACTGTATCCTCGGTTCTCGTGGAGGATAAGGCTGGCCACAACAAAACCACCGGAGTAGCTGCACTGGCTCAGACGGAAACAAAGATGCAGATTCTGGTGCCGGTTGTGGACGAAACGATTCGTTGAGGCTTCCGACCTCCTAAAACGCCATGCCTGGCCACCCCGTTCTTTGCTCAGAGAGCCCAGAACTTGCCCCCTGGGCTGGACTACTTGAACGACACCAGGACCTGCCATGCCCTGCTATGGCATCGTCAGCCATCACCCTGCGATAGGATCAACGTCACCCAGCATGCTGTGTACTCCACTGCTGGGGAAACTCAATACACGACCCTCCACCTAAGTGATAGTCACATCATAGAATCCAACATCTATCAGACGACTACACAATACAGTACTACAACACCTCACCAGTTAAGGGATTTAAGTTTAAGTGCTTTCCCCAGGCTAACCGAGATTACCCGATCCCCCCCCCCCCCCCCCCCCACACCCCCCCGGCTTCGAGCAAGGATCCTCAAATTTCCTTGGAGAACACCACTCAAGAATGCAGGGGGTCTGGCCTGTTCTATTACACCATCCCGTCCCCAGACTGCCCGTTGCCAGTCTTCGTGCCTACACGGGACCGGGAGTCGTGTCATCGATTCTTCCAGAATTTCGGCTCAGAGGCTAGTTGAGAAGAACGAGGCGAGGCGACAAACACACTTGCACGCGTCGTAACATCCACCATCATAATGTGTCATGTGTTTCCTAAACAGCCGGCCATCAGCTCCCAAATTTGTCAGGCTGCAGGTCGTGATTGTCCTTCCTGCACCAGCACTGGCTGTCTTCTGCCCATCAAGGCATCCTCCAAGCGACGCCTCAGTTCAATGTCGCAAACATCACGTCAAGGTTCCCCATGGACCGGCTTGGTACATTGTCGTTTAGAGACGCATCAGCATTTGTGAGGGGCGGCAATTGTTGGCCGAAAAACTAAAGCAAATTCTATTGGGTATCATTACGAGAAAGATGGATAAAGTACTGAATTGTTGAGCAACTGCTGCGCAGCCACCAGCTCCAACATCTGCAACTTGCGATCTTCGTCTACGAGTTGGCCTGCAGTAGTGCCAGTGGCTCGAAAACTCAGCGCAAGAATTGCTCATGAAAGATTTCAAGCTATAGAGGGAGGGCTTTCACACATCAGCTGACACAGGTACACTGGTACACCTCGCCCCATCGTGCTGGCTACACCGCGGTGATAAGCGTTGCGGACATCCATCATTTACCTCGTAAGACATCTTTCAGATGTCAGACTCCAGGTCTTTTAGTAGTTACTGACTGATGTATACTGAAATCTCAGAAATAGGATTTCGCATAAAAAAGGTAGGTTCCCCCGGTGAAGATCGGGCTGAGCGAGACCAGTCTTTCAAGCATGGGTCCGCGGCCCCGAAAGCCAACACAACATGAGACGGACATGATGCACACGCATCGCCACCGCCTTAACGCAAGTTTGCGCTGCATTCCGTCTGAGCGACCCCACCCTGTAGCCTAGCAGAAGAACGACGAGCAAACAGCTTATTGCAACAAAGCGGTTGTGCCGTTTGGCCCTGCGCTGCTCATTTTTCCGAACCGCGACGATTGCCCCTTCTGCGAGCCTGACATGAACTGATAGCTCTCCGCTGTCAGCAGAACTGTGACGCCAGTGCCGTGTTTGACGATCCGCGCGCAATCGAGACACAGTCCTTGGATGTTGTAAAGCCGAAGCACGACGTTTTCCCTCTCTGACATCAGACTTGAAGAACAAATGCCTGTGCTTCTGCAAAAACCAAAGCACTGAGGAGACGGGCGCCGTCAATGCTCTTCGCTGCGGATGCCAGAGATGATATGTCCACTGTCACAGTGGAGGCCTCCTGGTTTAGACAGCGGTGTGCCATTAATTTCGTATGGAGCTCCACCAGGAACTGCAAGCCATGTCCTGATGATATTTCATTGCTCAAAAAACATCCGCCCAAAGGGGCAGGAAGTCAATCAGGAATATCCAAGCACCGCGCACAGACAAGATCGCCAAGACGATGCATGATGCATGTGTGACAACATGCTTGCGAGGACGGGTTAACCACAGCGTAGACGCGCATCGTTTCGGGTATTGTGGCCCACAGGTGCAGTGAGCATATTCAGTATGTACGAGTATTGCAAAATACTGCCAGGATTTGCTTATATAAGTTTTATATACTTAGCATGTTGTTGCACAGTGTGCTGTCAAGAAATCTAGTCAGAACAAGATCACCTGTGCCGACTCATGGCAAGATTACTGCGGCGTAATTTTAGTGACGTGGTTCGCTTATCCCTGCGTGCAACTCCGCACAGGCAGCTCGGTTTTAAATCTTTAGCACTGACTTCTGATGACTAGCCCCCTCTGCCGGACGCAGTCAAAGTTTTGATTGCAACGTCCAGAAGTTTCGTGCTTGGACCCGGTTGTCTTACCGTGCGTTCGCTTGGATGGGCAGCGGACGGGCTTGGTAAACTGCCTCTTTGGGTGCTCGTTTGTTCGACAGTCGGGTCTTCTGACCACCTGATATCCCTACATCCATGCACAATGCGCGGTGCAATGGTTTCCATTGGTTTCCTGTTATCAGGGGTTCCGGGACCTTGGCTGAAACCATGATTGAGCTTCCTCAAGCACGTCACATGCCTGCCGGTTTCAATCTGACACAGCCAATCGTTGCCAAACAAAGTCGTGCTCTGTACTCTTTCGATGCCACCGACGGAACCTAGATGCCCTTTGCTTTGGTCTTCTCCAAGGCTCAACAGCTTCGCACTCCAGTGTGATCAACGGCAATACACTCACTTGGGATCTTCGGCTTAGCCACAGCACATCATCGCCAAAGACATATGGAATAAGTAGAGTTACCAACGACAAACGCCAATTACGACGTATGGCCGCGATGCACTAGGAAGGAAACCCCTACATCACTGCAGGTACGGTGGGGATGATTGGTCCCGATGTCCGTAAATGCTGTGGCCTCATGTGGCTGCTTCGTCGGACCTGCCCGCACAACGAATGCACCCCCTGAATTTCTATTCTAGTGACGTCACCGGGCATCCACCATTCGGCTGGTGGATGCCAGCTCTTCACCGACTTGTGTAGGGACTGCCGACATGCAATGGTGCCGAGCCGGCACGCGGGAAGACGGGGCAAAGAGGGAACACACATGGAGCGAAGCTGCAATACCAGCGTCCTCCGAAACTTGTAAGTTCTGTGGCTTCCAGCCAGTCTTCCATAGCAGCAACGAAGTGGAAGCTAGGCGAAGGCTCATGCGGAGTGACGCTTCTGTATGATGTTGAGTCACAAGCAAAACCGAGTTCGAGTTCAGCAATCGTGCGCAGAGTTGTCAGTTCCACGGTAGGAAATGCGACTGCGGGCGAATGGGAGGGGAACACTGCTGTCGGCCATTGCATGGCATCGTATGTTGCACGCAGTTGTGTTTCCTCGCGCTCCAGGCGACAACTCATTATGGTATCAGCTCGGCGCCGTAGTAAGCTAATCGAAAATCACGCTTGCGTGTCCTGCATGGGCTATAACTGGAACAGCTGGAAAACGGACCGCACGAAGGGGACAAGCAATGCGCAATGCATCACAATGCCAGGTCGGACGTTTCTCCTGCATCCTTATTTAGCCCAGAATTGCAGCTTGAGGCTCTGAGGCCGAGTTCCGGATTTGCTGATGCGTTCGCGAGGAACAAAGGCAGATACAATAGAATGAAGGCTTTGTCAGCGTGTCCATCTGTGAGGAAAAGCTCCAGCAATGCGTCCTGGGCTGTCAGCTCGAGCACTTGCACCCGTCTCGATCAGGAAGTGTGATTGCCAACAAGGCTCTTGTTCCTGATTGGTCAAGTCTTCCCAACCGCTTGCCAGGGCTTGCAAGGAAGATGCCTGCACGGTTCCTTAGTGAGCCTTAGTGCTTCCTGCTTACAGGCTGGAGCGCACTCGTTTTTCATCGTTTGAAAGTGCGGCCCAAGATCGTGTCAGGCATGCAAGCCTGGCTAGGACCAAGTGGCTCGGGGTCGCGACATGCAAGTCCAATGCTTCCGCTCGGCTGGAAATGTAATTCCAGTACACCGCAGCAGGATCGACACCCTCAGCAGCGAAAATCGTTGCTGCTGTAACGTACTTGCCATTGTGAGCCCCTGCTTGCAGGATTGAACGGCGACCAAGTCTCGGTAAGGTCGTGCAAACAAGCTAGCCCTTTCATCACAGAGCGCCCGTTCGGTTCGGTCAGGAACATAGAGCCAGCCAAGGACATGCTGCCAGTGACCTTGCAACTGTTGAACAATTTATAAAGTTTCTCCAGCCTTATTGGGTGACGAGAATTAGTTCGCGGGAAACAATAATGTATCAACAGTGTAAGATTTTTGAAGCCTGGATGTGTCTTGGAAGCAGGGCTATAGATGTTCCCCTCGGTCTTAATTGGGCTACCTGGTTACCTGCAACAATGCTCCGCTTCCGGGACCGGACGGTTCCTGTCTCATTGTTGGATGTGTTTTTTGCATGAGGGGGGCGGCCTACACCAATCAGCGTCCCTCATCACTCGGAATCGCCGTGACATGCAACATGTGCTACCCATCGCAATTCACATGGCCAAGCATGTTTACTTGGAAGCGCGCCCCGCACAAGATGCTGACCTGAACGAAGAGGAAAGTCCTGAGGCAATCTTATGTTGATACCTTCAGGTTGTCGCCAAGCAACGCGCAAGTCTCAACACAATCCAAGACTCCGATACACATCTTCGCCCTCGTCTTCTCTGGCACACTGCAGCTGCCACACAGAATGAGGATTATTCTCTCCCTGCAGCATCTGGGCGAAGTTGAAGTCAGAAAGCATTCGCACCTTATCAGTGCCACGCGGTGTAATGTTGCGCAAAGTTGACTGGTACTACCAATCCCAACCCGCCGAATCAGCTGAGTTGCCAGTGCAACAATCTGATGATAGACCTCACCCTGTAGACTTGCAACCGAAGGGAGATAGCCATCCAGATTGGCAAGGGCATACGCCAACACCTGTGCACCGGGTCATCCAGCCGCGTACAGAACTTCACTCTTGACTTGATTGTAATATGCTTGGCTTTGCTTGTGTTGTGTTTGGACTATTCAGGGCCTGCTCTGGGGTGCGCCTCTCGGAAGGAGGACATAGTTTGGCAAAGTCTGAGCTTTTGCCGAGACCACCTTCGCTTTGAGAGGACTCATCTTCTGGTGGGTTGTGGCTCGCAGCATGGCCAGTTCGCTTTTACTGTGGGAACCCAAAACTTCGAGAGACTCAGTTCCATCCGAGAGTCGAAGCGCAAGGAGCACCATTAATGCAGTGAGCTGTTCTTTGGACATTTGGCGCCCGCCAAGTGTCTCCTTGCTTGCAGGTACTAACCTTTTCAACTCTGGGACGGGGAAACCATCATGCTTCGACACCATCTCTCCTCGATAGCCTGGAAAGTAACTTTGGACAGTCGTTGTCCCGGCTTTTGCCCTTCCACCATGCTTTCGTAGTCGTCCTAAATCTTGGTACACTTCGCGACTTCGAAAAGATCGCGGAAGCTGCTTCTACGCAGTAAAAGCACAGCGCACAGCTTGAACTAACAAAGAGCAACAGCGATGCGACCGTCCTTGAGGAACCAAATGGTGCTCAGCAGCGACAGTAAGGCTCGTTTTGCCTCGTCCTGGCCAGGACTAATTACAAGAACCCTTTTCGACCGCACAGGGTGGTTTGGAACGTATGCTGGGCTTGGTGCTGCAAGTGATAGTAGTGAGCTCTGAGAACCCCAAACTCCAGCACGGATTCTGGTCGGGCCTCGACCTAGATTTTCCGGCAGTGGACTGGATACCTCCCTACTTGTTTTTCTTCGACACCAGGTGAGACCGAGCCCGAGCGCCCCCCCCCACCGGAAGTCAAGAGGGAAAAATTAAGGGACGCTATTAAAAACACCCCGACCACCACTGTTACTCCTGGTCTACTACGACGACTATTCCTGCTATTAATTGATTGGCATTACGACTGGTGCTGCTACTGCTAGTTTTTAGTTGCTAGGGTTTGACATGCATTTGCGGGCATGTGCTTTGTATACCACAAATAGCAACACGTTGCCCCGACCGTGTGGTAGCCACTACGCGTTAGAATGGCGAGTGGAGCTGCGAGGGATGCGGCTCTCGCTGTGGTGCGGTGGATATTTTGCGCTCAAGTCTCATTGTTTTGCAGAGGTGTCCCGGCGAGCCAGATTCATCGTAAACACAGTTGAACAACATTGGTGCTGAGTTTGTCTCATCTGAGCTGCGTGCAGCGACGCCGGCTGAACATCTGGGAAAGAAACTCAATGAAACGTTCGACCAACGATCCGTCTCAGGTGGCAAATGCAGGGCTTGGCATATATAAGTTTCAGCTGCCATTATAGGACTCACTCTCTGGGCAGACGCTGGTTCAAAACAGTAAAGAGGCTCCGATTTGTCAAATTCTCGCCACGGTATGGCTTCACCGGCTGGTTAGGACTTTGCTACCCTAACTGTACCCTTGTCGCTTTAGCGGGTTCAGCCAAACACTTGCGATGTGCTCACTTCGCATCCCTGTTTGGGATTCACAAGGAAGCATAGTTCAAGTGAGCACTTTAAGAGCTCACTGTTACGAGAGTGTATGCCGGATCATCGTGCTGATGCTCAAATGAGCTGTCCGAGATCACACTTCTGAGGTTTGCCACCTCTAGCCCCAAGCCTGTAGCCCAAGGTCTCCCGGAAGTCTGCTCGCCTCAGGCGCGGTTTGGATTAAAAACCCCGAGAGAAACGGAGAGAGAGTCACCCTCCTTCCATTCCCGTTTGCTCCTCCATCTGGTTTTCTCCGCTTGCTTTCATGAAGTAGTTGCACTCACGGACCTTGTGCATCAAGTGCCTATCAGGCAATCGCCAACATATCTGTAAGTCTGCAGGTTGTCCCGTGCGGAGAGATCCATCTGGCACCTCTTCCAGACTGTGTTGCATATACGTGGGATTCTGTCGACTGCGGGCTATACTCATCCTCACAGACCTCAAACCCAGTGTGATGCCGGTAGCGGTCTCTGAATCTCTGTACCTCAACAATGCCCGTAGCTGGATCGCTGCTCCGTATCGTGATGCGTTTCAGCTGCCCTTTGGCCATGAAGTGTTCACAGATGGATGGTGCGAGGATGAACATGGCAAAAGCGCCCACTGGTTCGTGGGCTTTGTGTGGACTCTATATATAGTCTAAGACACCTGTCTGGGCCCTTGAAAAGCACAACGTCAAGCATCGAGATTTCTTGACGGCTCGCTCCGTCAAAATGCAAAAGATTACGGCGTTGGGCTCGTGATAATCAGGCCGTCGTCCTTGAATCTGGCATAAAAACTGATCCCGAATTGAGTCTGAATCGTATGGACTGCAGCAAAGTTGCTTTCAGCTAAATCACAAAAAATGCGCAGTCGCTCTCCAGTGCGCGTAAGTCCCATTCCAGACCCTATACGGACGTCGTAGAAGGAGTCATGGAAACCATCAGTTACTATCTGCGATTGGAGTGTGTGTGTGTGTGTGTGTGCTCGACCAGTAAGACCGCGGATTCCCGAACTTCGCTGGAAAAGCTGCTTTCACAGCTATACATACCGCAGAGTGTGTCCCTGACATAAAACACTCCTTGACATCGAAGCCTCCGGGGGACCTGCACATGGCGAAAGGCATCAAGGAGGTGATCAGTGTCCTTAAGTATGTGGTTGTACTGAGCCAAGTGCTGTTTGAGGAGGGAGGCAATCCACTTCATCCCTGGCTTCATGAAATGATCCGGGGCTGCGTGTGCCAACCTCATCGTCTGCTCTCCTTCTGGCTTAGGGGTCTTGACTGTTGTCAAAATCTTTGTAACATAACTCTTGCACCCGCTCCTCAACGAAGATAAGACTGAGTTTTCGAGATCTGCATCCTCTGTTTGGTGGCCGATGTACTTGACTATGTTGGTGTAGTCCTGAGCGATTTCTTCGTGTGTTGCTTCATGAACAGATCTTTCCGCATAGATGGGTAAAGATAAGGAATCAGGCACCGCCTTCGCAAGAGACTGCTTCCAGACGAGAGCATTCCCCCCATCCCTGCCTGTACGTGCAGCTCCTATCGGGCCCTCGCGCAGCGTTTGGATCCCCCACCTCGCAACTTTACTGAGGTTTGAAGCGCAAGATTGAGAGAACTTCAAATTGCTTCGCTTCCCATAGGCCGCCCCTAGTGAAGACTCCTCTCTTCAGTTCATACATAAAGACTTGCCATTCATCAGCCAGCTTGTGAGGGCATGGTGGTGTGCTCTTGCGGCTTCGCAGCTTCCACCGCACCGATCGTTGCAAGCTGTCACCCTCGGTTCCAGAATGGAATAGCCTCCTCCTCCTCAACTTGTTCTCCCATTGGGAGATGGCACGGCTCAGCTCGGACGTCTCTTAGATTGGAAAATATTCTTCGGGTGTAGATGTAAAGCGAATTCCCCTGGCCATGGCGCTTGGCCTCTTTCTTGGTGAGGTCAAGGAACCGCCTCACCATCTCTTCCTCCATCCGGCTATGCCTTTTCCTTTCTCCTCCTTGCCTTTTCCAGGCTTGCCTCCTTTTGCCCTTTCCTTTCTTTGTGTGGTGCCAGGTATGGCCTAAAAAAGACTTCGATGCATCATTGGATGGCTGGATGGAAGGTCCTTTCCCTATCCTTCCTTTCGCAGCTCCTTTGCCTTGCGTCGCCTTGGTGCACAGACCCTTCAAGGCTCCTTTGCTTTTGTTTGTGCCTTTGCCTGTTCCTTTTCCTTTGTCTTTGCCCTTTCCTTTTCCTTTCCCTCCTTTGGGGTTCCGGGTTCTTGTTGTTCTGCTGTGTTTCATCGACCCAGAACATCTCCATGCGGTCATCTGCCATCGCTGCACTTCCATTAGTGGTAGCAACGAATGCACTCGCAGAGTTCAAATGCGGGTTCGCTCCATCTTTGCTGCTGTTGGCTGGGCCTGGGCCTCTGCTTAGCATTCTCATTGATTTCGCGCGTCTATGGTTTGCTTGAGGGGTTTTCTGTAGCATCGTATTGACGAAGTCCTTCTTCTTCTTCTTCTCCCGGAGCTGTAAGTGATCCCTGCGCGTCTTGACTAGACCCGTGCTTGGCCCACAATCTTCTCATAGACATTGCTCGCCTTGGATGCCACCATGCTGGCTGTAATCTTGTTGGCCTCTGGTTCGTTGTCTTCAAAGTCTAGATCTAAATCACGCCATGTCTGCACTTTGGACCTGAAAGACTGAAAGACTCAGAGCATTTGTTGACAAACTCAGACTTCTTGGTGGTCTGCCGAAGGTCTGCACGCTGAGCACGGGCTATCATCAAGTCAACCTTTCGCATGGAGTGCAAGCAAGGAGCTGCAGTGGATGATCTTCTTGGCATCCCGTAGCGTGGTTTGCTCCGGGATCTCTACATGCCACGAAGTCTCGCCAAGAGTGAGAGTGAGAGAACCCAAGAAGGGAGTCTCGTAAGGGAACGACACAGGCTTCAACCCGTTAAAGAACTCTCGTCATCTTCAAGCACTCGATGTCTTTCTCATGCTGCATGATGCGGGAGTTCGCTGCCTGTAACTGTTCGATCTTCGTCGCAAGCTCCATAGACACCTTCTTGATCATCTTCAACGAATCTGCCGGGATCACCTTGGCGGACTCATCTTCCACTGCCATCTTGATGTTACGGATCTTTTCTTCCTCTTCTTTTCTCATTTTAAGCTCGAGCTCTTGGGCTTGGTGTGCATTAGCTGCTTCAGGCTCTCTAGACTCTAGATCTCGTTCTCGATCTTCTTGCCTCTGGTGCCGGACCTGGAAACGCTTGAGCTGCCGTCTGCAAGAGCAAGAGCTGCCTTCCTCTTCTTTGACTGTCTTGTGCCTCACTGCCGACCATGGTCTGGAAGTCGTACTTGCTCGAGAACACGCTCTCTGGGCAGATGCTGGTTCAAAACAACCCTAACTGCACCCTTGTCGCTTTAGCGGGTTCAGCCAAAATCTTGCGATATGCTCACTTTGCATCCCTGTCTGGGATTCACAAGGAAGCATAGTTCAAGTGAGCACTTTAAGAGCTCACTGATACGAGAGTGTATGCCGGATCATCGTGCTGACGCGCAAATGAGCCGTCCGAGATCACACTTCTGAGCTTCGCTGTAAACAGACTCGCACCTCTAGCCCCAGGCCTGTAGCCCAAGGTCTCCCGGAAGTCTGCTGGCCTCAGGCGCTGTTTGGATTAAAAACCCGAGAGAAAAACGGACAGAGAGTCACCCTCCTTCCATCCCCTTTTGCTCCGCCATTTGGTTCTGTCCGCTTGCTTGCATGAAGTAGTTGCATTCACGGACCTTGTGCGTCAAGTGCTTATCAGGCAGTCGCCAACATATCTGTAAGTCTGCAGGTTGTCCCGTGCGGAGATCCATCTGGCACCTCTTCCGGACTGTGTTGCATATACGTGGGATTCTGGATTCCCTCCACGCTTGCCTGTATGGATGCATCCGTCTGGGTACTTGTGCCCAACTCGTCTTGTCGAGTGCGGGCTGTACTCATCAAACCCAGTGTGATGCCGGTAGCGGGATCGCTGCGCTGTATCGTGATGCGTTTCAGCTGCCCTTTCGGCCATGAAGTGTTCACAGATGTGATGGTGCGAGGATGAACATGGCAAAAGCGCCCACTGGTTCGTGGGCTTTGTGTGGGGTCTATAGTCTAAAACACATGTCTTCTCCCACCCTGGGCCCTTGAAAGCACAACGTCAAGCATCGAAATTTCTTGACGGCTCGCTCCGTCAAAATGCAAAAGATTTGGCCTTCTCCCGGAATAGCGCCTCGAACTCACGCCGTTGGGCACGTGATAATCAGGCCGTCGTCCTTGAATCTGGCACAAAAACTGATCCCGAATTGAGTCTGAATCGTATGGACTGTGTTGACCTTGAAGGTCACGGTCTTCAGTAGCAGAGGCCATAGCTCTTCTTCTTCTTCTATAAAGATTCGTGGTTACTACGTGTAGAACAAACTCAAGCAGACAACAAAAACCCGGTCCCTACTCAGA